TAGTTTATCCGAACATAAAATAGAAATGAAAATGAAAATAATGGGAACCTGTCAGAGGAAAAAGAAAAGGGTGAAAAGGGTGGAATACAAGGGTGAAAAAAAGTCATTGACTTTTTAGTACAATAGATGTTAATAACATTGCAGCCTCAACGCTTTACTTTTACACAGTAATTTACACAGGTAGTCCTCGACTTACGACAATTGAACCCGAAATTTCTGTGCTTAAGTGACACATTTGTTAAATGATTTTTCCCCATTTTACGACCTTCTTGCCTCAGTTGTTAAATGAAGCACTGCAGTTGATAAGTTAGTAACCCAGTTGTTAAGTGAATCTGGCTTCCCCATTGACTTGGTTTGTCAAAAGGTTGCAAAAGGTGATCACATGACCTTGGGACCCAGCAACAGTCCTAAGTATAAGTCAGTTGCCAAGCGTCTGAATTTTGATCACACGATCGTGGGGATGCTGCAAATGTCATAAGTGTGAAAAACAATCATAAGTCCCTTTTTTCAGTGCTGTTGTAACTTTGAACAGTCACTAAATGAACTGTTGTAAGTCGAGGACTATCTGTACTGGCCATTTCTATAATGAACCTATCTAATCAGTAAAACAAAAATTAAAATGGAGATGGTTATATTGATTGTTTTATTCAAAGAAAAGAACATATCTATTTTTTTTTCATTTGGAAACCCACTTCTGGATTTTGGGCTTGCGATGGAAAAAAATGAAAACTTTGATATATTTTTTTTGCCAGAGTTGTTAAGCGAGTCAGGGCAGTTGTTAAGTGAGTCATGCCATTGTTAAGCGAATCCAGCTTCCTCTACTGACTTTGCTTGCTAGAAGCCATCTGGGAAGATCGCAAATGACAATCTTATGACCCCGGGATGCTACAACCATCCTAAATATATGCTGGTTTTCCGAATGTTGGTCCCATGATCTTGGGGATGCTAGGATGATCATAAATGCAAGGAGTGGTCATAAGTCTCTTTTCCCAGTGCTGTTTGTAATTTTGAGTAGTTGCTAAACAAATAGTTGTGTGCTGAAGACTAGCTATATTTATTCTTTCCCAGAGAGCATTTATAACCTCGGGCTAGTGACAGCCACCCCTGGAATAGAGGAGATCCAGAATCTGTTTTGTTTTCACAGGGTGAGAAGCTGGTTTGAATGCCTAACCAGCTTGCCCCCTGCAGCCATTACTGTGCAGTCGCCTTGGAAGCAGATATCTTTCTGCTAGCTCGTCATTCAGTCACCCAGTGGTGACAGCAACAGGAAGGATAGTTGGCTGTCTCTCAGGCAAGGAAAGGCTTAAGCATCTCAAAATTGCAGTGCTTCCGGACAGCGTAGCAAAACAATTTTTGAACGACTCGACAAAACATGTGGACTTACATTTTTTATATTGTAGGTCGGACTTTAACGTATTAACTTGATCGTCCATAATAACTCTTGTTCATGTTCAACAACCGGACTAGTAAAACCGTTTTATATTACCTCTACCTACATGGAGGGAAGTCATAGTCAAGAAATTTGAATTTCTACCTGGTCTACAATAACTCGTGAAAGGGTTCTACAATTCATTTCTCACCTCATCTTCCCAGTAGAAAAAATATGTACTTTCAGAGAGTTGCTTTGTGTTAAGTATTAACAATAAGAAATATAATTCATCACATTTGTATGCTCTCTTTCCTGTAAGGCTTAAAAGAAAAATAATGTACAAATGTGATAAATAATAATTAACGATAGGCTTGGGGTTTAGCGAAAAGCTATCCAATCTGTTTTATGTAGCTATCTCTAAAGGGAAATAACAGGGACAGCTTTTAAAGATGAATTTTCAGGCAGTGAAACAAACTGAATGAGAAAGCTGGAGTTTTTTGCAGCATATTTAATGACTTTAATGGCTTGAGCTGCTTGTGGAGGTAACAACTGCAATACCTGTATTTTTTTTAAGAACTGATTTGTGTATTTCTGTTACTATGGTATTAATGAGCTGTTTATGAACAGCAGGTAAAGTATCTGTTTACAATGCCTTAACCAGTGCAGACCTTTACAAAACTAGGATTTCACAGTTTGCAAAAATATTGTTTTTAATCAAACAACTTTATTTTTATTTTGGTCCTAATTGTGTATTATAGTGTTTTCCATAAATGGAAAAAGGCAGCTAGTTTGAGCACTACTAGGTGTTTACTTTGCTTCCTTCCTTTTGCATTTTAAACAATCAGCATTTTTTTTTACTTAGTTGTTAGCATTTATGTAACAAATTTTATTGTCTTTCATTGTTCTTGAATTTTCTGTCTGAAACTTTGAACTTGCTTTGTCTGGTTCTTAGCATTTAGGAAACGTGAGAAGTTTGAATCCACTTTTGGACAAATAGACAATAATTGCAAACTATTACATTAAATAGGTGCCAAAAATAGTTCATATTTCCAATTTTCCAGATAAGACCCCCTCCCTCCATCCTGAAACTTAGTTAAGGATATATAATTATAATAGATGGGCCACTTCAAGGTATAAGCTTTATAGGAAGTAATGGTGAACGTACAGATAGTCCTCGACCAGAAACCGTAATGGACTTGCTCATTATGGACAGAAGTAATTATTATAGTTCGAAACTCCCATGTGATCACCTCACTATGACCCCCCATCCCTACTCTTCGACATGTGGTCATTAAACAAATGTGTGGATAATTAAGCAGAGTATGGGGTGCCTCAGGTGCTCTGGGAGGCCTAGCACAGGTCCTGCCCTGTGCCTCCTTCCCTCTCTGAGATACCCCATGTTCTGCTTCCTGTTCCTTAGAGTCCCTCAGGTCTTGGGTCTTCTTCCTATTCCACCAGGCCTCACATACTCCTCCTCACTTCACATTGCCCATTGTATATTTAACTTTTTGAAGATCTCCAGAGGCTGCTCCATTCCTGAGCCTTCTGGAACAACACCAGAGTAGCTGCCATTTTTGACACTGGACACATTGAATTGTGGCCATTCTGAAAATGGTGTTCACATTTGGATTGTACCACACAGGCCAGAACAGAGCAGCTGCCTTTCTTCTTAAATGGAGTTCTGGAAATCTTCAGAAGATAAGAGAGGAGAAGGATATGGAGTCCAGTGGGGTGGGAAACTGGCCCAAGGCCTATGGGGCCCTGTAGGAGCAAATGGAGGGAGATAGGAGGAGGGCACTGCAGCACCCTATAGTTAGTCATAAGGGTGAATGCAACAGCTGTAACTTTGGAATCGGGTCATAAGAAGCTTTTGGATGGTCTACTACCATAACTTCATACTGTCACTAAGTAACCAGTCATAAGTCAACGATTACCTATATATCTCATTAAGCCTTTTCTTAAATAAAGGCTAGGAGAAATTAGAAAAGTCATTTAAAGGTTGCTACTGTCCACCTAGCTTATATCTTACAAAATATTTCTTGAATTTAAAAATAATTGCACAAAAATAATTTTACAAATTGTAAGATTGAATAGTTTTAGTTTCTGAATGATAATGATAAATTGTACCACCTCTTGACAAATATACTATTTTTTAACTTTGTTTTCTTGTGGGATATTTTTATAGTTGATTATATATCTTGCAATAATCATCCAATTACAGATGATAACATGTTTTAGAATTCCAGTGTTCATGATAGGTACAATTTCACATTCCTTTTTAACTATACAGAAATTCTGTAACATGTTTCAACAGCTAGATCTGTTCACAATAATACATATATGAGCAAAATATTCACAATTTCTGTTCAAATAAATGAAATAGAAAACGTTGAGTGGATAAAAAATAATAGACAAGCAAAAAGAAACTGTATTTATATCTCATTTCTTAGTTTACCAAAACAAAAATATAATTTCAATATATTTTTGAATAAAATTTATTTTATTTCACAGTTCCATCCAAGATTGTACACTTGAATCTGTGAAATATTCATTTATATATTAATTTACTTTTTTGAAAACAAAAAAACACTGGTTCGCTTTATGCTAGGAGGTGAGAAATTATTTTTCCCTGCACCCTCACCTTAGTCATTTCTATTTACAATCCTTTTGCCCCTCACTGTTCAGATCATTAATCATTTAAACTTACTTAAGGTTATTGTTAGATTTAGGAAGACTTGGCCAGGGATTTTGGCACATGAAGAAGCAAAGAAATGGGAAACAAACAGGAGTTTCTTAGTAAAATTCAGTGGGCAAGTTCGTAATGAAATTTCTTTCTAAGTGAACAGTAACACTATCAGAAAGTCCAAGATGGGAACAATAAGAAATAAATAATTCTTCAGTGGTTGTTCCTTTAAAAAACAGTTACTATGAGTGAACAAGGCTTTGCAATCATGACTTGTAAACTTATATGTTCATGTTCCTGAGATGATCTGGCATTGATTGCTGCAACTACAAGCCTGTACAGAATTAAAACAATGACTTGGCTACATCTCAGCCAATGGCAGTTTTATCAAATCTTGTCTACACAAGAATTGATAGGAATTCTCCATAAAGAAAATAAACAAAAGAGTGGGACTAATAGATAATAGCTGGAAATAACAAATATAGGACAAATTCTCTGTTACTAAAGACAGTGAGTCATGCTTATATCATTTGTAAATTAGATTAGTTAGATTATGTGGAGCTGCTCTTGAAGATGTGGCTACCCGCTTTCTGGTCACCATTAGTTGATTTGGCAAAGTCCTTGCTTACTGACTACTCAAAATTCAATGTGTGTGTGTGTGTGTATATATATACTTGATAAAAAACAGTTCCTAATAAGATTCAAATTGGCAATGCTAGTTTCAGAGTTATCAAAACATTTTCTTTCTTTCTTTCTTTTTGAAGCATTTCAGATATATTGTTCCCACAGTTCATGTACATAAAGCTAAAGAAAATTTCACTGTAAGTTTGTGTAAAGATCCAAATGATACCCCATGAAGCATTTATGTCCCATTTATAAGAAATAAGTGAAGGAAACTTCTGAATATCTTTTCAGTAGAGGACAGAAATAAATAAGATGAGAAAGCATCTCAGCTTCTCAGTAGGGAATGAGAAAATGAAAACACAGTACTAGTTTCCTAAAGTTGTTATCAATATGGTGATCAAGGAAATTCAACTACTGAGATATACTGTACATGTTTGGGTAGCACCTTTGGGAATCTTCCCTCTAAATCCTGATAATAAGAGAAAGATAAAATAGACCTATATTTAGAAAACTGACTTCCTGAGAGTGCTCATCATTCCATATTTCACTCCTGTTGATTAGAAAGCCACCGAGATATTCTCTAATTATCAACTGAAGTACATCTTGTACTTTGCTGATGATTACAAGTATACTGTAGAAGAGCAATTTGTCTATCCATTTTAACGTTATTACTTCTGATGACTAGATAAACAATTTTGGAATAAAATACTAGATATTTATTTTTCTTCATGCATATGAAACTTATTTATATGAAACATAAGCTAAAATGGCCACTTTTCAAGGTGGCTCTGCTGCAAATAAAGAGAATTATAAGAAAAGGAATACAGGACAAAAGGAAATGGAAAAAGTGGGTGAGAAAGACAGTCTAAAGAAGCTATGAAGAAAACTAAAGTCAAAATAAAATATTCTCGAGAATGCATTTAATGTTACTTGTAGACCACTGCTATTTACATTCAGTCATGAGAGAGAAAAGCAATTCCTCCAACCCAGGTGCAGAGGACTTCACTCGTGCAACTCATAGTTTTAAAAAAGTAATTTTCATCGAGGTCTCAGCAGGGAGCCACCTGAAATACTGAATTAGCTGCTCTTGCCTACTCCGTCAGTAGGATCTGCATGTACTATTAAAAAAAACCATGGAGGTACCAACTTGCATTGGAATTCAATAAAAGTAAACTTTAAACCAAAGAAATAAAATAGCCGAATGAATGTTGGGTCTTTTTAATATATTTTTCTGATTTCCTGCCATTTTTAAAAATAATTTCATTAATGTCTGATCATTTTAGAATAAATTATGTAGCTCTTTTACTTTAATTAAGGATACAGATGAGTAACCCAATGCTTTGTCAGTAAAATATGCAAACTAATAATTTCTTCCCAAATTTTGCTAATTCTTCCCTTATTTCAGGTATTTTCTAAGTTTTTAGTGTATACCATCCCTTTTTTTTCATTAATACAGTTACTCTTCTTCACTGACCTCCCTTCAGGCTGACTCAAATGAATCTTTTCAAATATTCCTTTTAATTTTTCTTTTTCTACTTAGCTCCTCTACTTTGACTGCAGGCTCTGTTAGTTAGCAAAGTGCTACTTGCTTATCGATTGTCTTGTAGTGAAAGGCAGAATAGAAATCCTGAATACATAATTGAAATGAAGTGAGCTTTATTTTTTATTGGTGTATATCCCACCTTTATTTTTATAAATAACTCAAGGTAGTGAACATATCTAATTCTTCCTCTTCCCATTTTTCCCACACCAACAACCCTGTGAAGTGAGCCGGACTGAGAGAGTGACTGGCCCAAAGACTTTATGTCTAAGACAGGACTATAAAACTCACAGTCTCTTGATTTGTAGCCTGGTGCCTTAACCACTAGACCAAATTGACTCTCACATACTGTATATAGTACTAGTTCATCGTAAACTATGGTATGAGTTTTCCCATCGTTGGATCGTATCTCCACTAAGATAAGCACCTAATTCAGTTTGATGTGGGATATAGGTGTATTAACCCCTACCCTGGATATTCTGTACTGTAGAGGGTGAAATGTGAATTCTGATACAAGGTTCATATATTCTTTTTATGGATAAAGACACAAGGTTAGGAAGCATGACAACATGGGTTATGGAGAAATAGGTTTACAATCATCAGTTTGGAGAAGGAGACACATTTTACCCACCCATCCCCTAAAAATAACAAAAAGCATACAATAACATGACTGTATAAGTGTGCACATCCTTAAACTAATATTTCGTTGAAGCACCTGTTGATTTTATGACAGCATTCAGTCTTTTGGGGTAGGAGTCTATCACCATGGCATATGTTGTCTTGGGAATCTTTGCCCACTCTTCCTTGCAAAAGTGTTCCAAATCTGTCAGATTGTGAGGACATCTCCTGTGCAAAGGAGAACACCCCACAAATTTTCAATTGGATTCAGATCCAGGCTCTGGCTGGCCCATTCCAAAAGTTTGATCTTCTTCTGGTGAAGCCATTCTTTTGTTGATTTGCAGGTATGCTTTGGGTCACTATTATGTTGAAAGGTGAAATTGCTTTTCATCTTCAGCATTTTGGCAGAGGCCTGGAGGTTTTGTGCCAAAATGTATTGATATATATATTTGGAACTGTTTACAATTCCTTCCACTTCGACTAAAGCCCCATTCCAGCAGAGGAAAAGCAACCACCATGCTTCCCTGGTATATTTTTGGTGATATGCAGTGTTGTTTTTGCACTAAATATACTTTTTGGAATTATGGCCGAAATGGTCAACCTTAGTTTCATCAGACTATGACACATTTTCCCACGTGCTTTTTGTCAGGCTTGATGTAGGTTTTTGTAAAAAAAAAAAAAAAAGTCACCTTCTATACTGCTCCCACACTGTGGAATGTAGTGTATGATAGCTGAGCTCTATACTTTTCCTACTTTTATGAAATTAATCAAACTCTTTCTCTCTAGCCAGGACAGTTTAATCTGATTGGTTAATACTTAAATTATGTAAGTGTCTTTATATTACTTAATTCTTTATTTTATCTTTCTGATTAGCCACCTTGAATGGCTAACTAGAATCTGTTAGTAAGCAGAGATAAAAATTGAAATTTGTATTGCTGTCGTTGAATAAATATTAACTGAATTTTAATTTTAAATACTGAATTTTGAAAAGATATGTTTAAAGTTAATTAAAATTTAGTTATGTTTTTAACAGATGTGGGAAGAAGCCATTGTCTTGGGCAAAGAGCTTGCAGAACAATATGAAAATGAAATGTTTGATTACGAACAACTTAGTGAAGTACTGGTAGGTTTGTCTTTAACTCATTTGTAAATGACTCTAAACATGAAACTTAACATAAGTATCTCAGTATTAATTACAAAGCAAATTCATATGGGACATATTTCACAACATATTAAAAGAAACAGTTTGAATTAGAAATAAGCCTTTTTTAACATACTTGCTACTGATTTTAGAGTTTAGGTAGTCCTTGGACAGTAATTGGGGTCATAATTTCTGATGCTAAGCAATGCGGTTGTAAAACTCAATACTTAGCAATAGCAATTCTGACAGTCCTGGTTGCTGTTGTTAAGCAAGGACCATATAGGTTGTTAAGTGAGGACTGACTTCAATAGTGGTCTGGGCCTGTTTTAAGGGCAGAGTTTACCATAGAGTTATAGTGAAATGTTTATTACTAAACAATTAGCTTGTGAAACCTTGTGCACAGAAACTTTTTGCTAATTTCTTTGCATATATTTTCAGATGGGTCTCTCTTGTTTTTTGTGTATAATAAGTGGTGATAATATGTTCAAGTGCCTACTCTTATAGTGTTTCTATGCATCACAAAGTATAAGTTGGTATAAAAGAATATTATGATATCTGAGTTGAATCAAGCAACATCCTAGAATCAGAATTTTATATCTAACATAAATATAGTCTAAAGACACAAAACATCTTGGCTATCTGAGGGCTAAGTCTGATGAAAAGTAAAGCTCATCTATTTTTATTCAAAATACAAAATCCCTAAATCCTTTATTAATCACGCTGGGCTTGACTATTATGGGTGCGCGTGCGCGCGCGCGCACGCACACACACACACACACACACACACACACTGCATCTACACCCACACATTGCTCTCTTCACCAAAAAAAGTGAGTTTAATTTAAAAGTTTTTAATTCATCCCATTATTTATACGATGATGGTTGCCCATACGTATTCATGTGTATAAAATACTCTCTAGAATCCCTTGGGATCAAGGCAGTCAGTATGTTGCAGCAGAACAAATAATCAAAAAGCAACCTATGAAGTGGTAAAAGAGTATCACATGCTGGATTAAATGTACTATTAATGAGAAAAAAAACATATATAATGCTTTGGGGCCTCTTGATACAGAACTTTCCAATCAATTCTTATAACTTCAGTCTTACTATAGAGAAAGCAGACATATTTCATATCTAAGAATTAGGTATAAGGGAATAATATGCTTCTAATTCTAGTTTGCTGCTTGATTCAATTCAGAAATTATAATATCTTTTACACCAAGTTATACTTTGCAATATATAGGAGCATTAGAAGTGTAGGTACTTGAATATATATCACCACTTATTATACATAGAGATCAAGAGAGACCATAATTACATACTCATCTGAAAATATATGCAAAGAAGTATTGGATATTAAAAAAGAAATATTAGAAAATATTAGTAAAGCAGCAGTATGACTAAGGAGTACTACTCTTTGGCAGTAGAGTAGTGCCAGAGTAGACCATTAGATTATTAAGAGTTGAGCATTAGATTATTACTTTACCCTGGTTCAATCAAAAGCATACACTGAAATGGAAGAAGTACTTCCAATAGCAATTTCATTTATCTTCTTGTTAAAAGTCTGCTCCATTTAGAAAGATACCACTGTATATTTGTTCCACCTGATTCAGCTATAAAAGCTGCAAGTAATTCTCTATATTTGACCATCAGATTTTCCCCTTGACTACCAGCTGACACACTTGCAAAAGACTTTCAGTATAGCCCATAAATAAAACAAATTAAGAGAAATTGGTCTTCTCTTTTCCATTTATCTATTAGATTTTGTACAAACAAAGTAACTTATCTTGTTAACATGCCTGCAATAGCATCCTATAGAATTAGGGTGAAATACATTAAATGTTTCTTATTTGTAAGTAGCTGTGATTGGAAAGGTTTATGAAGAAAAAGAAAATATAATCTCCAGAAAAAGAACGTTCTAAAAATTATGTTTTTCTTAACACAGAAAAAACAAGCACAGTTCTATGAAAATATTGTGAAAGTAATAAGACCTAAACCAGATTACTTCGCAGTTGGATATTATGGACAAGGGTTTCCGACATTTTTACGGGTAAGTTAAAAAAAAAAATCTTCTCTACTTTAATTTTGCTGCAGGCCAGAAAAACACATTTTGTATCCTATACATTTTGAATGAAAGACTGTGTTCCAAATGTTCATAAATCCTTTTTATTGAGAATAAAATAGAGTGGAAGATACAGTGGATGGTCATAGTACAATAATGAATACTCGTTTTGGTTTTTTTCTTGAATTTTGGCTAATATTTTGATACATTTTCAGAAATTTTCCGGTGTTCTAGAATTTAACTCCGTGCTTCCACTCCAGTTTCTATAGGCTTAGCAAGTCATTAACCAATGTTTTATTTCCCATGGTTGAATGCTGGATGAAAAGCCAAGTGAATCATGAAGTCTACCTGTGTTTTACTAAAAAATATTTCTAGAAAATGTCTCATATTTCCTTGCTGGCTTCACAGTTATAGAGATAAATGCTAATAACGTTGAATAATTAAATGCAGCACTGTGGGAAACCATGAGAAATCACTTGGGAGGTAGCAAAGCTATCCAAAATATTTGATTCTAAGATGTAGGTTGTGAAATAACAGTGCTATCCTAAGAAATGAAACAGAACAATTTTCACATGTTCAAGTGCATTATTTATTTCTTTTAAAATAGAAATATAATAGCAGAAATTGCTTATGTGCTAAATGGAAATACAAATAAACTTTTCATAGATAAAATACAATGAAGTTAGGTTTACAAAAATATTAATCAAAATATGTTAGTTTTCTTAATAAAACAATAGTACTTTTGCATTTGTTGTGAGGAGCAAAAAATTGTAAGGCTTAGTAGTCACAAATGAATGTTTAAGAATAACCTTTTTCTTTTTACTCCTCTGCCTACTGTTTTATATTTATCTATTTTGTATTCTAAAAACTTTGATTCTTATATAGTAGTAATACAAATGCACATAGAATTCAATCCAAAGAAAATAATTCTTAGAATAGACCCAGTAAAATCTTTGGGAACATTGTTTTTGTTGAGTCTATGACTGACAGGTTTAGTAAATTTTAGTAGGTTTTTTTCCCCTGTAAATCCAGATTTAATCTATAAAGAGCATTTAAACTTTTAAGGGAATTCATCTAGCCATGATAAAATAGTCGTAATCATAAAAGAACCTCATTGCACAAATAATTTTTCATTCCATAAGTTGAAAACTATAATGTACTCATTTAATTCAAAAATATGTATCAGAATAAAAGAAATTGATGAATGCTAAGTAAATATGTGGAAGTATAAGTATATTCTTGTTTCAGGATCTGTGTTTTTTTTAAAAAAAAAACCAACCTATTGATTTGTATAGAATTTTATTTTCTGTTGGTTTCTAGAAATGTTTAGCTTCATAATGTAGAAGCAATTAAAGATATTCTTAACCAGAAATTATGTGCATTTATATATTTAAATGGAATCTGTCAAAAACTTAAACATATTATATATCTGTTTATAGAACAAAGTTTTTATTTATCGAGGAAAAGAATATGAACGCCGTGAAGATTTTGAAGCAAGATTATTAACACAGTTTCCTAATGCAGAAAAAATGAAGACTACATCACCACCTGGTGAAGATATTAAAAATTCTCCTAGCCAATGTATCCTTTAAAAGTTTTGATGGCCTTGGTGTAATAAGAATTTCAACAACTCATGGGGTTCTTGCCGTACTTACATTCTCTTATTGTTACATAAGAGTTGTATCTAGGGAGTCAGATTTAGCCAAAGTTGGCTGATCATGAAGAAAGCTAAACAGGTTTGGGTCTGGATCATACTCAAGTGATGTACCAAGAAGAAATCCCAGAGCTATAGATTAGAACAGAAATTGGGAGAAAAAACAGTGGCAGGAAGACTACTTCCTTTCTTTATGGTGGTCAAAGAAATCATAAGAGTCAAGCACAACTTGAGTGAATTATTTTTTACTTTTACTCAGTGTACAGTATGTGTTTGTGTGTGTGTGTGTGTGTGTGTGCGTGTGTGTGATAAATTAGGTACTCTGTTTGCATAACTTTAACTAGACATCACTGTAATTCTTAACATGTAACACAGATATCCAGTGCTTTACAGTAAAGCCAAAACTGGACTTACCATCAAAATTTCACAAGCCTGTATCAGAGCAAATTTTAAGGTACAGACACATTCGAAATGAGCAATTACTCGGAATAGCTTTAGTAGACTGCACTTGCTTAAATGTATTATCTGCTAAATGGCCTGAAGAACTGCATCTAAATTCATCAACACAAAAAGAAATAGACAGTTTAAGGTGCAGCAAGGGATTATCTTTTTCCATTTATCTCAGGAAGAAAAATAATTTTGATTTCATGGCTGCTCTCTCTCATTTTCTGTTTTCATTTATTTTTCAATATTGATAAAAAGTAGAGTAATTTGTGAATGACTTTTGGTTAGTGCAATTTCTGTTTTGCCTGTCTTTTACATGCACAGGCAGTATTACTGATATATCAGTTTTTTCAATCAGATTTTGTTTATTTTTAGGTGAACTGAAATAAGGGATTTTTTCAATTCAGTATGACCTGTGCCACCTTATAATTCCTTCTAGACAGTATCCCATAAAATAAACAAATGTGATCTAAATATTATATACCACTAGTAATCAAAACAAACGGTTTCTTGAGCAGTTATCGTGGCAGTAATATCTAAGGCCTTGGTATACCATTAAAAGAACATATCTTCATATTCTGAAAACTATGTTTAAAAGCAATGTTATTTATTTGAAAAACTAATATGCATCCTCAAAAGGAGCAAAGGGGCAATGTCATGTGTCATAATGTCATCACCAAGTTGATTCAAATTGCATATAGGCCACAGATGTCATGACACAATTTGCCAAATAAGTTGTAGTGAATACTGATATTATCAATAGCATTAAACATGTACACCCAAAACCAAGACTCTTGAAAAAGCTTCTCTAACCAGATTTATTAAAAGAGAAAAGGGATTTGATTACAGAAATCTCAACAACTGAATGTTTTTAGAACCCAATTTATAGGAGTTTATTTTCATTCTCTTGGGGGAAAAAACCTTTTTAAGGATGAACATATGAACTAATTCTGAGTTTTCCAGATAATAGAATAATTAGTGTATGTTTTGAACTTATAGTATTTTTCAGTCTGCCATCCTCTTTCCAAGAGAAAAGAATCTTCTTTCTCCAGTCTCCGTTGGAAAGTCCTAATGCAGAATTTCCACTCAACTATCATCTGCAATAGTAGCCGTAGATCAATCGCAATCTCTTAATACTGTATATCTTTATGAGAAAAACCTGACTCTGGATTTTGCTTTTTATTTTGCCTGCACAGGCCTGCAGTACTGGGTAGTTGTGATATTGCAGAGCCAGAAAACTTTGTGATACTGTACATAGATTAAAATCTAATTATGAAAAACAAATAACATATTTATTCCTTATCAAAATCTGACACTAAGATTTCTGGCAGAAGGGTGGGGCAATACAATTCCATTTATCATTTTAGGGGATTGTGATATTGCAGTTTGAAAATCCTCATTTTAGGCTATTGAATACATATAAGCCCTATAAAATATTACTTTCCTACAATGCTTAAAACTTAAAGCCTTGTTGTGATCTTAGATATTGTGGCCACATGAGACTATAAATGCAATTGTGTGTTTATCTCTTTCTAGTTTCTATAGGGTAAATGAGGTTCAGCGGTTTGAATATTCAAGACCCATTCGAAAAGGAGAGAAAAATCCAGACAATGAATTTGCGGTAATTTGAACATGTTATGCAGTTTCCTTAATGTCTTTTAAATGTGTTTGTCTAATATGTAAGAGAAAGCATAATATGCTTTCTGTAAATCTTTACAGTTTGTATATATATGTGACATTTAGTTTATAGTGTTAAGGAATTTCTTGTCATCAAATGCAAGATGAACAAAAATAAGAAAAAATTAGTGTTTAGTTTTTTAAAAGTGGTTGCATTAATGTAAAGATTTTAGTCATGAAAAATTAATTTCTGCACGAATGATTTTCACTAATACCAGTTTTTTCATTTAGTTTAACTAATTTATGCTTTCAAATATTTACTCAAAAACTAAGATGTCTCCATTGAGTTATGCTCCCTGTACACATTACATTATTGGCAAACAAAGATTATAAACACTTATTTGAGGCTAAATTACAAGTAATATTAAATGCTTCTTTGCATATAATATGCAGCTTGTATCAACTGCATGGGAGACACAGATAATTAAAGGAGTCAGAATAGGGAAAGAGAGGAAGTTAAACTCTTTTCCTCCATCTTCTGAAACTGATATTTGCACCAGTTGGGGATTTTCTCTCATTCATTTTCTAAACAACAGTTCTGTACAATTTTATCCTCTAGAAATAGCTGTCTACAGAATACTAGAGGATAAAATAATTGTTTGCAGTATAGGCTGTTTATATATATACGTGTTGAAATGAGGGAAGAGCTAATTCACTTGTGTCATCTATATGAATACAAAAGCTCATAACAAAATGTAAAGAAAATTAATTAAACTGGATGCAAAAGTGTTCTTTCATCCATTTTGTGTAATTGTGTTGCCACTGTGGCATTAGTACATTTGCTACTAGATTTTTATATAATGACAGTATAAATTTTGGGTTAGGATAATTTTGTCAGTCTATAAGCATTTTACTTTAAAACTTTTCTCTTAAATTACAGAATATGTGGATTGAGAGAACTATTTATGTGACAGCGTATAAACTACCTGGTATTTTAAGATGGTTTGAAGTCAAATCAGTATTTATGGTAAGTTCAGGTTAATAAGATCACTTTATTAGACGGCTGATATTTTTAAACAAATCAAAATGTTTATAATTTGCTAATGCTTACATTTTGAATGTTTGCAGAAATCTTCCATGCATTTATATTTGTGTCAGTCCTTCTATGGAGACCAAACTAGGAAACCAAAGTCATGTAGACCAATACTACTTTTATTATAAATGCTTGCAAGTTTAAGTATCCTTCCTCTCTCCTTCTATCTTCATGACAATTAGAACATTACACCTTATTTGGAAAATACCTTGCTGATTATTTTTTTTTGAAGGCTAGAAGTGCTTCATTGTGAAATACTTCATCTGCTTGTCCTTCCTATTTTTCCATCTGGGCACCATTTTGGCTTAGATCCATTTATAGAAATTAAAAATGGTGGACAGCAGAGCTTCACTTTGCTATGGAGTGTTTTTGGACATCTGAAATGATTAAAAATAGTTTTGTGTGCTATGAGTATGAAATGAAAGATTCTGAAACATTATCATGAATGAACTATAGATTCAAAGAAATAGTTTTATATTAGGGTGAAACACAATTTCTACCTACATCAGGTTTGAGAATAAATTTTAAGTTTTTCATTGTAATCGGTTTGCATTTTTGTGAAAGGGATTTCTGTTAGAGCAAAATGGTTTTGAATTTGAGGTTCATGTAGCCTTACATAACATCTCTCCAAATTAAATTTGCCCATCCTACAAAGTTATTTTGGAAGGGGATGCTTTAGTTTTCTTCTCCACATGACATTAAGGTGCTAGAGGCTTAAAAATAGATTGTTCCTGTTGTAATCCTATTTCTGTTTTAATTGCTGTTTATTTTTATCATAATATTGTATTTTCTAAATAAACTACCCAGAGTTTAGAGATGGGCAACATAGAAATTCAATGGTAATATAATTTAAAAATCTGGTTTTTTTTTCAAAATCAAATTAAATATGTTCTAAATTCAGCACAGAAAACTGAACGTGCAGACATTGAAACTCAAAGGATGGATAAATTTTATACTGATATTGATGGGTTATAGTTTATTTGATGACTTTAGTCATATGTTATCTGATTAAAATTCCTCTGTTATGAAATCAGCTTTCTTTAGATAGGCAGTGACACTATGAAGCAGATCAGTTTTACACATAGCACATAATTATGCATAATTGTTTCTAATTCTTTTGTATAAGTTTTTGTAAATAAAGTTATAATGATACACAGTTGAAATTAATACACCTCAACCATTCTTAATATTTCAAACAGAGCGTTTAACCTTTTATCTCCTATGTGTAATACAGCTCTTCCAAAGTCACAGCACCTGTTCAGATTGTCTTATAAGATAGAAAGCTATTAACACAATTATGTATTCCAGAATTCTATAATTCCAAAACACTGATTTCTTGACACAAATATTATGCCCAAAGTAGAAAATAAGATGAAATAAATTATATGCATTGCAAGTTATTCGAAACAGAAATAATCTTTAGCAATCAGGTGTATTGCTAGTATTTTATTTCTAAATGGAAATTGTGCTAATTTCAGTCTAAAACCAGCCTCTTCTTATGTTTATGGAGATTTTCAGTCATGGTTGTCCCAAAGGTGCTTTTGAAGAGGCAACTAGATTTCTTGTTTTTCTTTGAAGACATTGCGCTTCTCATTCAAGAAGAGCTGAAGAAGCTTCTTGGATGAGAAGTGAAACATCTTCAAAGAAAAACAGGAAAGTCCAGTTGCCTATTGAAAAAACACATTTGGGAGAGTGTCTTCTTAGTGTTAATATTTGTGATGGAATGAACAAAAAACATATTATGACATGAACATTATGCTCTCCAGATTAATTTTATTAGTTATATATTTGCAAAGAATAATAGAAGAAAGTATGCAAATAAATACTGATTTTGGAGATTGTAATTGCTCCTGTATTTGCATTGTAATCAATCACAAAATAAAAGTGGAAATGTATTATCAGAAGTGGAAATGTACTATGCAGATTGACACAAATAGATTAGTTATTAGAGAACACAAATTTGTCCTGTTGACTATGTTTATAGTTAGGGCCTGGTTAGGACTCCAGTTAAACACATGGCGAGTTCAAACATTCAGACTTATTGTTCATTTTCCCAGTCTCCAGATGTTCAGCAATATACATGATAGTCAGGGAGAATAAGGGTTATGTCCAACATGTGCAGGCCTATTTTCTACCTAGCTTGAGATCACAATATACTCAACAGATTCCTTAAACTGGATTTCTTTCTTCTGATTAAGATTTAATCTTATCACTAAATTTGTAATTAGGGTATTCATAGACATTGATTTATGATTGTTTCTGAAATGTATTAATAAGGAATAATCACATGACTTCAAATTTAGTCCTGTCTTTTGAGTTGTAGGTTAAACAGTAACATTTAATTAACAGAAACTATTCCAGCAAAGTCAAATAAATCCCATTAAAAACGAATGTCATTTTAATGAATTTAGTATTTCTATCTCTGTTTCCATTTTTAATTATACCTGCTGGTGAATATATACAGGTATCACAGATTTGTGATTTATTGTAGTGCAGTAATTTATTTTTACTCTGAGGTTTCCCAAACAAAAATAGTTTATTTTGAAAAGTGTCTCAATCGGGCTGGAAGATCTGATAAAAATCTTCTTTTCCTCTTGACTGAGGCAAATATTGGAGTAAGCAGTGG